GTTAGAGCTATGTCGGCACTGCCGTTTCAGGGCGGGGTCATTTTCAGGACTTTCGTCCAGGATTCAGGTTTTGGCACATATGCCATGTTGACCGCCATGGTCATTTTACCCTAAAACAGTAAATGAAATGCATACAAACTCATATACAGGTCCTAGACTATTCAGCAGTTGACATATATAGAGCTCAGCGGAAACATATAAATTATAGCATCTGACCAATGAGAATTTCGCGTCACGATTTGAGACGCAGAGTATTCAAATTCATTAGTCATCGATGCAGGCTCTCAATTCAGCTTGAGAGCCTGTTCGCAGGCTAAACTCCATGTTACCTAACTCCCTCATGAGTATATGTCATAAATTTTACAAAGTCATGAGAATCGAAAATTCTACATACTAGAAGTTACTATCGCAAGGGAAGTGCTGCCTTTTGACCCAAAGTCTTTGGGATTGATTATACCAAAAACTTCATTTATTTAAATTGCCTTATAGACCTTATTCATAAATCGTGACGAGGCATCGTATCCTAGGATACGGGAACAAAACGCGGGAAAACAAGCGAAAACTGCTTGACAAGCCAAATTCAGATGCTATTGTGTCGACTTTAACGGCTTGTTTCTTGTTGCTTTTTGCGATTTATAACGATATTTGTGTGTATTTTAAGACATTGTGCCCACAACGAAAGCGGTAAACGAGTATATTATAAAAGCGACTGGTTTTTCTCCCATTTTTGTGTGGAAAAAATGACAACGTAGCGATGGTGTTTATCCAGAAGCGAAAAACAGCATTTTACTGAGATTTTAATGTCAATATAAAGGTTATTCCGTGAAGAGTCAAGACAACTATGGAATGGAAGTATAATTTTTCGAATTTGACATAAATATGAAAGAAAACAACAGGTCAAAAATCACAAGAGAACGTCAAATGTTATTGATTCGTACGGAAAATATGAACTATGGCTGTGGCTCGATATAAACATTCTGCAAGCAGCTTACAAGTTTAAAAAATGAAGGCTACATTACCTGAGTGAGTTGTAATCCTATTTCTTCAACAATAGTTTCATATTTGTTACGATTTTGGTGTTGTATAGACGTTTTGTAGCCTTGTTGGTTGTTTGTTTTGCCCAATACAAACTTGGCAATATAAATACAAAGTCAAGGTTTCCTTTTTCGATTGACTCCAGCATCTACAGCATCTTTTGCTTTAAATATCATGTTATATTTTTTCAGAAGTATTTTTTCAACTTTCAAGATCAGTTTTATAAATATATTTTTCGAAAAAAGCCGTAATATTCACGAAAAAAAGCTGCCATAGCCGACAGCAAAAAAAAACATTTTGTCAATTTTCCCGCGTTTTCCCCCGTTTCCTAGGATACGAGGCCTCATCACGATTTATGAATAAGGTCTATACTGTAAATACACTGTATGTATGAATTATTTTGTTTAATAATGCAATAATTATTATATACTGTAAACTGTACTTCGGATTTTCATATTTACACATGTGATTGTTGGTACCAATGTTTTAAACCGTCTTCACTTGTCAAAACGTCCAGAAGAACACAATTAGGAAGAACAAACATAATGTCTTTTTAACATGATATGATTAGTTTGTTGCAAGTTTTCATATTCTTTCCAAGTAATAATAGTGTACTGTATTTTCCAATTGGAAAACAAGACAGTGCCATTAATTGTTTTTTTGTCCAATATGCAGATCTTTCGTATTTATTTAGCATGTACAGGTAGTGTCCATTGTTGGCGATCATATTGTCCAATAACTTGTCAGGTTACTGTACATATAAAGGTATGTAACATCTTCACACAGTAGGCATACAATGTTCCTGACATCCATATGGTAGTTTGGAACAGGGGCGTAGGAAGCACCTGGAGTTTGGGGGGGCACCGGCTTGTAGGGGCACATTACTATCGGAAAGGGCACCTAAAAAAATTTTCCCGGAAATGTTGTCGACGGGGGGGGGGGGAGAAATCCCCCCTGACGAAAATTTTCCGTCGTATCATACCGAAATTTATGTTTGTGACCTAATTTTTAAAAAAAATTTGTAAATTTCCACACAAAAACGGCACCTATTGTTTTAATTTAGTATTTACAGCGACATTAGCTTCTACAAAAGGGGCACTTTTCCTCACAAAAAAGGGCACTTTTCAACACACAAAGGGCACTTTTTATCACAAAAAAGGGCACTTTTAGTCCTTTAAAAAAATTTGGGGGGGCACGTGCCCCCCGTGCCCCCCCGCTTCCTACGCCCCTGGTTTGGAAACAAGTACAGCAATTTAATAATAATACATGGCAGATTCCATATCCCATTGCACTAGATGTATTGTAACATATCCAATCTTTTAAATCAGCATTCTTGTTTTAATAGAAATACATTTCTGTCAATCCAGAAGCTCCTATCCATTTGCATGAGATGAACAGTAATATATCCATATTATATTTTGACTATAACAACCATTTGGCGATTCGAAGCATATAACAACGCATTTCGATTTGGCGATTCGAAGTTGACGAGATTATTTCATGGTTTGGGCTGAAATAGATCACTCGGAACGACGGGCGTATTTTTCTCTCAACGACGCTACAAATCATGCACTGAAATCGCAGATGTTTCAGCTAAGTATGCTTACAAATACTGGTCATACGACCAAAGTTAAAGGGGTCGAAAAGACTTGTGCTCATGAACATAGCGCTTTGTTATTGTTGAAGAAGTCCAAGGGCAGCCATGTTAAGACAATTTGCATGAAATCGACTGCATCTACAATTAAATCCCTAACAGCTAATTTTCAGAACATTCCAACAAATGATAAACAAAAGGTCCTATTAAAGAATTCTTTGGAATGCAATAGCGGAACAGATATTCAAATTGGCCAAAACTACAATGACAACCTGTTATACAGGGTGTCTCAAAAAAACCCAAAATCATTGAAATAACGTATTGTTCGAATTTCAATGCCGTAACACAAAGGATTTTGACAGGGTGATTAATTTGTTTTAAAAAATTAAAATATCTTTGTAAAGTGAACGTTTGTTTGCTCATGGGAATTTAAAAATGCTTTGTAAATTGTAATATGCGTAATATGCATTCGTGGGTTTAGTACTTTATGCCTGACATAACAAGTTTACGCTGAGTATTACCATTCATTATAGCAGTTATGTCAATCTTTTATTCACTCGTGGGATTAACTTAGTGCTAGGGCATTGAATATCGAACAATACGTCAATTTCAATGATTTTGGGTTTTTTTGAGACACCCTGTACAGGGTGTATAAAAAAAAGCGAAACCTCGGAATTTCCCAAGAAATCGACATTGTTTTAAAGACAAAAGATTTTAGGCGCCTGGGAATTTAAAATAGCATAACTGTCAAAATTACTGCACACGCGAGTGCATAAAGCAAAATTTATGCATTTATTTAATACACAACAACAGTAATATGATCTATTAGCAATTCGCTTTCAATTCCTAGGGGCCTAAAATCTTTTATGCTTAAGAATTGCAAAGTGATTTCTTAGGAAATTCCGAGGTTGCGTTTTTATTGATACACCCTGTATAGGCCTCGAGAAAGTCATATAAACAAACTTCTCTACCAAATTAAAGCTAGTTGCAAGTTATCTTATTATAAACGCCGCAGAACCCGTAAACCGATCTCTTATTATCCAAACTCTACTGCTACACATCATATCATATTATCCGGTGATATTGAGATAAACCCAGACCCACAACAAAAGTCGGCAAAATGTCGTGTCTGTGAAAAACAGTGTCAGTGAAATCGAACCATAAACGCTTTCTCTGCGATATATGCCAAGATCTAACGCATGCTATATGCACTGGTCTGACACAAATAAAGCAAATACGTGCCTGTACACCAAATAATTGGATATGTTCCCATTGTATCAGTTCGATACTACCATTTCATACTGAACGGTCTATAGATTTTGATAACTCTATAGGCGAGATTCATAACAGTTCCTTAATGTCTACACCGAACAGCGATATCCATCTATCCGAACTCGAATCTCGACAGAAATTATTACGAGTCGCCCATTTAAACACTCAGTCTATGACTTCAACATTTGACAACTTTCGCCTTACGATTGAGACATACCCATTGGACATCTTTTGTTTAAGCGAAACTTGGCTTAAAGATAACAAGTTACTGCTGCAATATGTTAACATCCCTGGATATACTAATGTTTTCCGCAACCGAGATAACATAAATGGTGGCGGCGTCGGCGCCTACATACGTGATGATATACCTTTCAAACGTCGTACAGACTTTGAACAGCTATATCCTGATTTAGAGGTTCTATGGCTTGAGGTGCCAGGTCGAAACACAAATAGCAAACTGTTGCTTGGCACGATATATCGCTCGGAACGCATAATGCCAACACAACAATGGTTAGATACAATCGAATCCCTACTCATTGATATAATTACAACTTGGGACGGCCTACTTATTTTAATGGGAGATATGAACATTGATCTTATGAAACATTCTGACCCGATAACAAGATCATACAATGATATGCTTCAGTCATTAAATCTGCACCAACATATTACCACACCAACTAGAATTACACAATCCTCAAAAACTTTAATTGATCACGTTATTTCTAATAAGCCTCGCTGTGTTTCTTACTCGAACGTTTTACCCTGTCCTTCTGTCAGCGACCACGATGCCCCTTACGTTTGCCTAAATGTCCGCACCTCCCGTTTTCAGCCACGATACAAAATAATTCGTGACGAAAAAAACGTAGACATGGCAGCATACTACACTGACGTTTCCTCACTGCCATTCAGTGCAATCTATGCCTTCAGCGATCCTGAAGATATGCTTGAGTCATTTAACACTCTAATCCAAGACTGCATTGATCGTCACGCGCCAATAAAGCGAATAAAAGTCACTCGTCCCCCATGTCCGTGGCTCAAAACCGGTGATATACAAGCTCTCCAAATTCAACGCAATAAATTGCGCTTTGAAGCACACAAGACCTCTCTTGACAGTATATGGAATGCTTTCAGAAAGGTTCGTAACAGTCTAAAAACCAAGATCAAGGCGGCTAAACGATCCTTCTACCAAACAGTCTTATCCTCCAAAAACTCCAAAAAGATCTGGAAAGTAATTCATTCTATTTTAAACCCCCCTTCGCAGCCACTTCGACATGACCCAAACGAATTGAATTTGCATTTTGCTTGTACTGTTCAGCGGACACTGGGCTACACGAATAACGTTAGCAATAACGATCTCTACGCTTACATTGACTCTTTGCCTATTTCCACTGAGCAAAGTTTCAGTTTGAATAAGGTCAGCCAAGCAGAAGTATTAAAAGAATTGCATAATCTTCGTAATGATAGTTCGACAGGTCCTGATCAAATTCCATCAAAGTACATTAAACCAGTTGCTGATATAATCGCAGCTCCTCTGACACACATTATAAACTCCTGTATTGATGCTAACTCATTTCCCTCTGCTTGGAAGATCTCAAGAATATCTTCCATTCCTAAAACGGAAACTCCAAAGACCCATGATGATTTTAGACCTATCGCAATCCTACCTGTCTTATCCAAGATATATGAAAGACTCGTCCTCAAACAGCAGTTGCCTTTTATCGACAACTGTCTTAACGATAATATGTCTGGTTTTAGAAAGGGCCATTCTACTGCCACGATCTTGATGGCTATGAGAGACGATATTAAGAGCGCTATGAAAAAAGGAGAACTTACCCTTATGCTTTTAGCAGACTTCTCGAAAGCATTCGATACCATAAACTTTAAGACCGTTCTAAAAAAATTACATCGACTAAATTTCTCCCATGGCTTTTTATACTGGATAACGAGTTATCTAACAAATCGCTTCCAATATGTTCAAATTGATGACAAGAAATCTAACCTAACACCTGTATGCTTTGGAGTACCACAAGGATCCATACTTGGTCCTTTTATTTTTAACCTATATGTATCTGATGTTGATGTCCCTCAAACTTGTTATCAATAT